AGACACTTGGCCTTTTCTCTTCTAAAATGACCTCCCTGGAGACGCTTGTGGGTTTGGAGCAGTCACGTACCGTTGGGTATTGTACAGGCTGTGGCTCACCAGGGAGAGCACCTCGAAGCCCAGCTCTGCCCCCAGACGCTGGATGTTGGCCTCCATCTCCTTGTAAAATGGCTCCATCTCTGCATCCAGCGTCACTTGTGTGATATTCCACTTCTGGATGTGATCCCTAAGAACAATCTCATACTCCCCTTGAATAACCAGCAAGCAGGAGCCCAGCTGGCTCAAGTTTTTGTGGAGATCTTCAAGGGACTGGAGCAGGAAATTCCAGCGCAGGGCCCCGATGTGCATGGAGGAAGTCAGGAATGCTCTGTCCAGGATGTACACGGGGTACAGGGCCTCTGAGGACTCCAGGGCAGCCAGCAGCACTGGGTTGTCGTGGAGCCGGAGCTCCTTCCGGAAAAGGTGAATGGTGCGATGCAGCATCCTGGCTACAGGAGGCAGGGAACCCTTGGCTTTCAGGATACCAAATCCCTATAAAAAACAAGGTCAATTAACAAATAGAAATAGAGCTCCAAAAAAATCCTCTGCAGTTTTTACCACAAACTTCTTGCTTTGATAAGTTTTCATGAGAGAGAAATGCAGGAACAAGACCAAACCTGTCCTCTGGCCCCACCATTCAGCAGCAGGATCACCACCCAGCTCCACAGAGTGGAGCTCTGCCCCAATGAGTCAATCAAATGGCCTCTACCCCAAATGAGTCAATCAAATCCCTCGATGAAATTACATGCCAATAACACTCATCAGAAGGAAGGAATCAAAACAGATGGAGCTGCCAGAGCCCCATTTAGTGCATGAACACTTTTTAACCCTACAGATGCAGCTGTCAGCAAACCCTCTGGAAGCCATCAGCTGATTTCAAGGAGATCCACAGGAGCAATCAGCTCATCAGAGACCTGGTACAATACTCCCTCTGTCAGGCGATTTTAGTAGGAGACATCTGAACTTATGGATTTCACAGAATCCCCGACTGGCTTGGGTTGGGACATTAAATCCCATCCAGTTCCACCTCCTGCCATGGGCAGGGACACCTTCCACTATCCCAGGTTGCTCCAAGCCCCAGGCAACCTGGCCTTGGACACATCCAGGCATGGAGTAGCCACAGCTTCTCTGGGAAACCTGGACCAGAGACTCACCACCCTCACAGGGAAGAATTTCTTCCAATATCCCATCTCACCCTGCCCTCTGGCAGTGAGAAGCCATTCCCCCTTGTCTTGTTCCTCCAGACCCTTGTCCAAAGTCCCTCTCTAGTTCTCTTGAAGCCTCTCTAGGCACTGGAAGGGCCTCTGAGGTCTCCCCTTTTCTTTTCCAGGCTGGACACCTCCAGTTCTCCCAGCCTGCCTCCAGAACAGAGCTGGGTGTGATAATTACACAAAACTACTCTTGATTCATACATTTATTCCCCTTTGAAGCACTTCAGCTGAGTTCAGAGGGTTAGCAGGAGTGCTGACCTTACATCTTAGGCCAAAGCGTCTCAGGGTACAGTTTGGGAAGCAGCTTCCAACCACTGGCTGCCCTGTTCAGGACAATGGACCCAGCAGATGCCAGGAAGCAAAGGAAGAGCCCAGCTGCCACCTCATGCCTGCACCAAACCCAGCAGCACTTCCTAAACTCACATTCCCATGTAAAATTGGGAAAGTTCAACGCCCACCTCCCAGGTGGATCCCCACCTGCTGCTAACTTCCAGCCTTACCCCCAAAGGAGAAGAGATTAGAGATTAGTAAAGAACCAAACAACAAGCCCTAATCCAGCTCAGCTCTTCTAAACAAACAGCTCCACTCAGCCCCTCACAATGGCTGCACCAGGCAACTCAGTCTTTGTCCCTGCTCAACCCACATCCAGCAGCTTTTCCAGAAATCTGATTTGCTCCGTTCCCAAACACATGCACCAGACAAGCCCACTTTCTTACAGCCCCCCAGTAAGGCCCCAAACTCACAAGCACGGGGTGCAGCCCAGTGCAGGGCTGGGCTGTGTGTTGTGCTCTGCCCTGCACTCACTTCCTGGGAGAACTGGAAAAGCAAGGTGACTCTTGCTGCTCAGGGGAGCACCCAGAGAGCATTTTTGGGTACTAAACCACGCAAAGTGTGCTGGAAGAGTGCCCGGTGCCCTATGCACCAGCTAGGCTCACTGAGGGACTGCCCCAGTCAGGGGCTCCAAGGCCCCCACAGCCTTACAGCCTTTGGGGCTGTCCCAAGCCCTGTGGACCCACATGATCTGCAGGGTCACCCCAAATCCAGGGTGTTGCTATAGGACACAAAACAACACAGCAAGGACATGCTGCTGCTCTCAAGTCAAGAAAAGGGGAAGTTTATTTTCTGACTCCAACATTTATAGATTTCCAAAGGTGACAGTGGATTGGAGGGTGAAAGTGCCACCTCTCCAATGACACTGGACAAACCAACAGTCCATCAAATTTCTCCTCCTCCATAAAAGAATGAAAAACAATAAGTTGTTTACAGAAAGTGTGTGAGAAAGTTTGCTACAAGAATGCAAACATCAGAAGGCTTAGAAAATCTTAAAAATTCAGGGTGACACCAGGGCCCTGCAGTCCCCTGATGTCTGTGGGATCACACTTACCCCCATGCCCCTCTGTCTCACACACCTGGGACTGCTCTGAGCCCAGTACACCACACAGCCCATGGGATGGCCCCAAACTATGCCCCTAGGCGGGACCCATCCCATTCCTTCCAGTGATGGCATCCCTGCAGGAGCAGTGGGGAGCAGGACTAAACCACAACAGGGACTGGGCACAGGGCAGGGGGCCCAAAGCCAGGGCCTGGGTGGGCTGTAGGGTCTGGGTTAACAGCAGCTCTGGGGATGCCACTAAAGGGGACTGGGGGAATCAGAGCTGGAGGGACAAGGATTTCATTAAAACAGGCTGGGAGGAGCGGGGCCTCCATTAAAAGGGGCTGAAGCTCACTGGGCAGGGTGGGAGCCTAGAGCCAAAGAGGTGTCAAAGCTGGGTGAGGAGCTGGGATCCCCTACTGGGTGGGAAGGAAGATCACTTTTGCAGGCCATGGGTGATGTCAGAAAGAAACTGAGCTCTTGGACACTCCTGTCGTGTCACAAGGAAAGGAAAGATGCTCTGGGATGTTGGAGAAGGCAGAGCAGGTGCAGTCTGTCATTGTCATCATGGTGAGATTTATCCACTGTTACTCTTCCACCTCTCCATGAACCAGTGGTTTGAGTCTGTTCATCCAGCAAGGCTGGGCAGATTCCCTGCCACATCCAGATCACATCTGTTCCCCAAAAATCAACCAGGCAGGCAGAAAATACACCTCACACAGGATTCACCCCTGCACTTTGGGACAGGTACACCAAGACGGAAAGCAGGGAAATCCAGGCCTTACCCTGAGGATTGCACAGCTGATGCTCCAGGGTCTTTACAACATGTCACCCCAAAAAGAGGAGGTCACTGATCCCAGCTCTTCTGCTGTTGAGCATTTCTCCCCACAGGCAGGAATGTGCTGGAGAGATGCAAAGGCTGTCAGTGGCACTATCCAAAACCCATTGTGCTGATCCTGTTCCTACAGGCATCCAGAAATTAGTTGCCCAGTTTTAAACACCACTAAATACCATAAATATCTGCACTGATATGGATTCTGCATCAAAGATGGTCTAAGCCACTCAAGCTTTTGTGTAATTCCCAAGAGCTAAGGAGGAGGATTAGCAGGTAGCCTCCTCTCTGGTCCCACTGGCCCTTGGAGCTGGCAGAGCCAGATGGGGCAGGGACAGACCAAGGCCTAAGGAACTGGGAAGAGAAACTTTTAACAGTTTAATTTTCCCTGTGTGACACTCTCCATTGTCAAATGCTCCTTGACTGCATCTTGGCTGCTTCAGAAGCAATAGTGAAACAGGTAAACACAAGTGTCAGACACCTGGAGAGAGCAAATTCAGACCTGCTCTCTCAAACCACAGTCTGGGCTTGGGAGGTGGAATAATTATCACCATTAAGTGGTTTAATGTTATTCTGATTTGACAGGCCTGAGAACTATCCTTAATTGGGATCTAAGAATTAATTTTTTGCATAAATCTGGTTCCATAATCCCACTCTCCACACTAAGCCAGACCTGAGGCTACTGTTGATTCCAGCCTCTAGGTTCTTTCCCCTGTTTGAATACTTTAGGCGCTGGATACAACTTTGATGCAAGAAAATGGCATACTGAGTCAGAGGAGGAAGTAAGTTGCAAACACATCGAAGTGTAGGGGCTTGACTGGGGCTTCTCCTACAACGGGTCGAGAACCACACCCGAGAGTCTCTACCGTGGGGGTGGGCCGAGGGGGGACGGGCTGAGGCTCCAGGGAACCCTAACCGGGCCCCTCCGACGGACGGGGAAGCGGCGAGGAGGCGACGGGAGCGGCCCCTGCGCCAGCCCCGCAGCAGCTGGGGGCGAACGGGCCAGCCTGGACTCCCACCTCCTCCCTGGGGGGGCTCCCTGAGCCCGCCTTTACCTCCTTCCCCACGGCCTGTGGGGGCGGCGGACGCGGCACGGGTTCCTCGCCCCACGGGGCTGGTTACACAACGCCGGCTGGGACGGGTGGGTTATGTAAGGACCGCTCCCAGCGGGGCCCTGCCCGCTGTCCGCGGAGGTTTAACGGGTTCAGGGTGGGAGGGGGCAGGGCTGGAGCACCCCAGAGCCGGGGACGCCGGAGGGTCCCGAGGGTCCCGAAGCCACGCCAGCCCTACCCCGGCTCCCCGCCGCAACCGCAGGCCACACCCCGCGCGCGCGCCTCAGTGAGGGGCGGGGCTTGGGTTCCCGCCCGCAGCGCTCACTCAATGGCAGCGCCCCAATTCCAGAGAGGGGCGGGGCTGCCCACCAGGACGGCTCAATCAGCGCCCGAGCGGCGGCCCAGGGGGCGGGGCTGCCCGCCAGGACCCCGCCCGCTGCCGGGCGATAGCGGAAGTGTGGCTACGCCGCGCGCCGCCTCACGGGTCTGTGCGGCGGGAGCCCGGGGCTTGGTCATTATGGGAGGGGCGTTAATTAGTTACAGTGAGGCGGTAATTAGTAAGCAGAGAGGGTGGAGGCTGTTCCGAAGGGATTGTGTGGGGGATCTTGGAGGGGTGAGGCTGTGGGTGGCCGTTCCCATCCTTGTGGAGTGGGAAGGGGATGCAGCTCTTGTCCGTGTGCGGGGGTAATTAGGCTGAGGGGTGTTGAATTAGGCTGATGGAGGAGGGTAAAACGCTTCTTCGGTGGGAATAGTCAGGCTAGAGGTGTAGTGAAACTGAGGGGTGCTCGGTGCGAGGGAGTCTGTGGGGTGCTAATGGTGCCTGAGGGAAAAGATAACCCCTGGAGGGGGCAGTTAGGCCTCGGGGGCCGTCCCCCATCCTCAGCGTGAGTGGTTAGCGCTGTGCTGGGTTATCGAGCCAGGCTCCTCTCGGGTGAACTGACAGGTGTGCCTCTGTCCCTGGGGACTGAGGGGCAGAGCCCTCCTTTGGGAATGTCGGGGCAGTGCTGTGGCAGGGGGTGGCCCATCCCTGAAGCAGCTTTCAGGTCTCCCCCTGCACAGGAAGGGGGAGATGGAGCCTTTGGGTAGGAAGGGGCACTGATGGATGGCCCCAGCAGGGCAGTGGGTGCCTTAACCATGAAAGGACACAGGTGGTCCCAGGGCAGATGTTGCAGTCCCATAAGGGGTTTGGAGTCTGGCTATGGCCTCCCAGTTTATTAAGGTTTGTTAATCCCTAGGGTTTATTAGACTCAGCTGGGGACTGAGGGGATGGGATGGATTATAAAGTGTCTCATGTCCCTCCTCCAGCTGGGTGCAAGAGCAGCTCCAGGAACTGGCTCAGCCTCTCTGTGACTCTGATATCACATCAGGATAACAGCTCAAAACCTAGGTCCTTAGCTGAAAAAAAATCTCAATTTAAAGGGCTATTTTTAAAAATACAGGTTTGTCAGGAATAGAATTTGGTCTCGGAGCTCCAGCACCATGCAGAGAGCTTCACGGCTCAGAAGGGAGCTCTCACTCCTGGCTACAGAGCCACCTCCAGGCATCACTTGCTGGCAGAACGGGCAGCTGGATGATCTACGGGCACGTACGTACCCTGGGGGTTCCCAAGGGCAGGGCTGGGTTGCAGTTTACTGCTAGGTCTGTACATGCTTTGGGATTTACAGGCTATGTGGAAATGTGGGATTGTAGTTTCCTTTAAACATAGCTTGGCCTGTGTCTTGGCTGGTCTGCCCTTCGTATTGATTGCTGGAACTGGTCTTACATAAGATGACATTTTTTATTTCTGGGTTCTCTGTGAGGGAAGTGAGGCGCTGGCACAGGTTGCCCAGAGAAGCTGTGGCTGTCCCATCCCTGGGAGTGTCCAGGTTAGATGAGGCTTGGAGCAACCTGGGATAATGGAAGGGGTTCCTGGAACTGGGTGGTCTTTAAGGTCCCTCCCAACCTTTAACATTCTGTGATTCTGACACCTGAGCAGCTCTGTAACTGTGGGAGGTATGTGGGGACTGCTGGACAATGAGGTGATCTTGAAGGTTCCTTCCAACCCAAACCATTCTGTAATTATGATTTTGAATGTAATTCTTGTATTTTGATCTTGCTCCTAAAGAAATTTTAGGAGGTGTGGACACACCATATGAGAAAGGAATATTCAACCTGGAAATCATAGTTCCTGAAAGGTAAGCAGGCAATAGACTCTAGGTAGATTAATTACGAAGGAGTTCTCACCTGTGAGAGAGAGTGGAGAGGCCCTGGCACAGTTGTTCAGGGCTTGGAGCATCTTGGGATAGTGTAGTGTCCCTGCCATGGCAGGGGGTGGAGCAAAATGTGCTTTTAGGTCCCTTCTAATGTAAACCAGGCTGATTCTCTGTTTAAGTAGTTGGTGTAGTCCTGCTTTAAATATGAGTAGAGTGATGTAAGGTATTTGCTGTAAATACTAACATGTGAGTCTTTATCTTCTCAACAAGGAATCGAGACTCTCTTTTTAAGGAATGAAATTTTTCTAGTTGCTGATACTTTGCATTGAACATCAAAGATGTGTGATTAAAAACCTAAAAGTGCAATGATAAGACTTTTGCCTCAATCATACTATCTCAAAGCTTTCTGGAAAGAGTTTGTTCATCAGTACAAAGTTTCTTATGTTCTTCCCCTTGTGGAAGGCTATCCAGGGAGGTGTTAGACACAGCTGGAAACAGCAAAGGCAGAGCACTGCCTCTGAAGATTTGTGGGGAAGGGTGTCATGTAGGCTGGGAAGAGGAAATTATGGCATTGCTTGGGTGACAGAACAACTGGTCCTATAGATATAACCATAACTTTTGTTTCTTAATGCTTATCCCTCCAGGTACCCATTTGAGCCGCCAAAGATTCGCTTCCTGACCCCCATCTACCATCCCAACATCGACTCTGCTGGAAGGATTTGCCTGGATGTTCTTAAGTTACCACCAAAGGTAAGACAGTGCTTGGGTGCGGGTAAGTGAGCTGGGCAGAATAATGAACTCTTATCTGCTTCTTGTAAAAGCCTGATTGAATGTCTGTTTGCTCCTGACTTATTTACAGGGAGCAGGGAATGAAGTTTTGAGTGGCATCTTCTTTGTTTAGAGCCAGAACATGATGGTTTTTGTTCCATATAAGTTTCCAAGGCTTTAAAGATTGGAGTCAAAAGGCATTAGGTCTGAAAATTAGTTGCCTCAGCACAGCAGAGATGTGCAGGGTACAGCCCATAGAATTATGGAATCTCCTGAATTGGAAGGATCATCAGGGCCATGAGCTGGATTTGCACAGGACAAGCCCAAAGTCCCACTGTGTGCCTGGAGCTTTATCCAAATGCTGCTTAAGCTCTGGCAGCCTTGGAACCATGACCACTGCCCTGGTTGTCCAGTTGGGCTTCCTTGGAGCCTTGTATTGAGAGTGGGTCCGGTGTGTTCCATGGCCATTAGGTGCTGGAAGTCCCAAGGCAACTGTGGGCAGGTTGTGAAGTGCTGTAGGTTCTGAGGTGTCGGGATCTGCTGTCGTGTGCTGGTTTCTTTCTACAAGCTGCTGCTCTCATCCTGTTTCCTTACAGGGTGCATGGAGGCCTTCCCTGAATATCTCCACCCTGCTGACCTCCATCCAGCTGCTGATGGCAGAGCCCAACCCTGACGATCCTCTCATGGCCAATATCGTATGTGAGCTCCCTCTCTCCTGGCCGTGGACATAGGTGGGGAGGGAGTTGGGGGCTAGACTTTGGCTCAGCTTCTGTTTCACTCACTCTGGGTTGACACACTCGGAGCGTGGCCTGACCTGGATCAGCTGGGGCATCCTTGGGCTTCCCTGAGGCAGCTGAGGCCAGGGGAGATGGTCAAGATTTTGTCTTCAAGCCATTATCTTCAGTGCAAATGGCAGCACAAGTTCTTCAAGCAAGCTAAATGATTTTTATACTTCATGCTTGTTGCAGTTTTAGTCTGGTTTAGGAGTCCTAAAGCCAGGCTTGGTCCCAGCTTCTATGTGACATGTATTCAATCAAATATCTGTCTTTGTCTTGCTCTTCCCATTTAGTCCTCGGAGTACAAGTACAACAAGCAGCTGTTCCTGCTCAATGCCAGGGAGTGGACCGAGAAATACGCAGGGCAGCCGGGGGTAAGGACCATGCTCTGCTCACTTGGTGTAGCTCCCTCTTGGTCTACAGTCCTTTTGTCTGAGTTTCCCTTTCACAGTTGCTTTGTTCTTTCCTTTCTCACCTTCTGCTCTGTGTTTTGGATCTGTATTAATTTCATTCTCTTTTTTTAAGCTCATTACATTATCTCCTTCCAATTAAATGTGTTCATTCACTAATAACTGCCATGCTGCTCAAGGAGGAGGAGGGACAGATAGATAAACCCTTCCCAGGGATTCTGTAGCCCTATTCTCCCTCAGCTCTGTTCCCTGTTCTCCTGTGCCTGATTCCCACCTGTGCCTGTTCTCTACCTGCTCATCCATTCATTGACTGGTCTCCCTATTCCCTGATGGAGTTCATCCTTCCTCTCTTCCTGCCTCCTTTCCTCTCTGTCACCTCACCAATGAGTCTCAAAAATAAAATCACACTTAAGCAAATCAAAGCCTCTGCCCAAAAATCAGTTACCTTTGGGCCTTCTCCCTTCCCTAGGTGCCTTCCCTCCCTTGTACCCGATTTGGGTAACACCCTTTCTGGGATCAGGATATCTTCCCTGCAGGAGCCACGCTCACTGCTCCAGCTCTGAATGCATTTCCAAGTTAACTGTGGTTGTCAGGAGGGCACAGAGTGAAGCCATCCCTGCAACAAATCACAGAGCCCTGGAGCGACCTGGCTCATCTCTGTGTGTTCTACTGCTCTGCTCAGCCATTATTTTGCTCTCCTGTCATCTCCCTTCCTAAAAATCCCAGCAGTGGGAGCAGAGTAACAAAGGCTCAGTGCGTAAGAGCCGGAGTACAGTTGGCTCTGACCTTGGTGGAGCACAGGGCATTCCAATGGTTGTAAAATTAAATTATTCACAACTCTTCTATTTCTTGGGTTATCACAGGCTTCCAAGCCTTTGGAAGAGAAAATCATTCAAAGTGAAACAAGCCCCAGCAGTGACTCAACCATGCAGAAAAGAAAAGGGGTTGACATGAGTAGGAAGGAGAAGAAATCCCGCTCAGATTCCTGAGGGGTTTTTTTTTTCTCTTTGGGCTGTCCCTCTCCCCTTCCCCTCACACATGTACAAGGAAAGAGTCTGCCTTTTAGGGACTGCACCAGCTTTGGGTTTCTGTTTCTTTGGGATGTTATTTTTTTTTTGTGAAAAGTTCCATTATATTAATAAAATATAAAGCTTTTAATTTATATCTGCTTTTCCATTTTGTTGAATGGAGGTTTTGGAATCAAAAAAAAAGGTGAGTTGATATGGCACAGCATGTTTTTTGGTAGCAGGAGAAGGCCACAGGAGTAGCTTCTGTGAGAAGCTGCTAGAAGCTTCCACCATTTCTGACAGAGCCAACCTCTGATAGCTCTGAAGATGGGCATGCTGCTGGCCTAGTTAGAGAGGCTGGTAACGTCTCTGTGATGGCATTTAAGAAGAAAGTCAAAGCAGCACACAGGGGCAGTTTTTCTCCAGTGGTGGGGAGGCACTGCCTTGCTGGTGTGGCCTGTGGTGAGCCTTGCCTGCCTGGCCACCCCTAGCTAACCACTGTGGACAGAAGTGCAGGGGCAGCGTTTTCCCCTTCCCAATGCCCTGCATGGGGAGAGGTGTTAAATGCTGCCAGTGCCGTGGCAGCCACTGCCCACACAATGACAGCCAGGCCAACTGGCCAGCAAGGGAAACAGGGCAAGCAATTACCTGATGTGGAACCTAGATGAGATCAGTCCTCTGCGCTGCAGGATCTTGCAAGAATTAGAGGAACTTCTTGGCAAGTGTACCTACAAGCAGCAGTTTTTCTTCTAGTCGGAGAAGAGGAGGAAGTGAGAACATGTGAGAGAAAACAACATGGCAGCACCAAGGTCAGTGAGGGAGGAGGTGTTCCAAATGTCAGAGCCAAGATTTCTCTGTAAGCCATGGTGAGGACCATGGAGAAACATGGTCCCCTGTAATGTATGAAGTCCACAGGGGATGAAGAAATTCACTTGCAGTCCATGAGAAAAGGGCTCATGCTGGAGCAGGTGGATGCCAGAGAAAGCTCTAATCCAGTGGGAGACTTGAATAGAGAGAGAGGGCTCTTGCTTCCAAACTAGAGCAGCCTATAGTTAAAAGAATCCCCACCCATGGATAAGTCACCACAGCAGTTTTGGGAAGACTGCCTGTGGGAGGGACCTCACAGCATAGCAGAGAAAAATCTTTGCTCCCTGTAAAACAGAATATCTCAAGTGACAAACTGACCAAAACCCCCACACCCTGTCTCCCTACAGTGTTGGTGGGAAAGAGGGAGGGGCTGGGGGAGAAAAAATGTGGTTTAAAGGCTTATTTTACTTCTCATTCTCCTCTTCTGACTTTGTTAATAATAAATATACTTTATACGTTTAAATGTGAACCTGTTTTGCCCTTAGTAGTTTGGTTTTTTTTTTTTTCCTTCCAGTCCTTATCTCAATTCATGGGCCCTTCCTTTTTTTCCCCCTCTCCTCTGCCCAACAGTAGCAGGAGAGAGTAAGCAAACAACTTTTGTGCCTGGTGTTTGGCCAGTGTCAAACCACAACAAAAGGAAAACTGGAATTTCAGCTTCCAGTTTCCAACTTTCAGAGACATGGGAACAGCGCCAAGTAGTTCAATTTCTGTTTTCACAAACAACTGAGAGCAGGAGCTGAGCAGCAGACGGGTCAGAAGCAGCTGGTGGGAATCCTTTCCCAGGAAAGGCTTACTTTTTCATGTAATCTCAAGGGCTAAGTCATTAAACTCAAGTCTTACAACTCTGGCTCTCCAGAGCAGTGTTCAGTTCCAGCTGGACCATTTAGAATAACCTGGATGGTGTCTTGGCTCTGTTGTGACTCCAAGAGGTAGCCAGTGACAAGAACCAGCTCACAGCAGGTGAGGAAGAGCCCAAAGGATTCCCAGGGATCTGGGAGGATGGATGTGGGAGAGCAGGATGTCAGTGATCTGATGCGCAGGGTGAAGAGAGCAAGAGGGTTCGGTTAAGGAGGACTATTCTTGGTGCTTCCACAGACCCGAAGACTAGGGCTGGCAGCAGATTGCAGTAGGAGCAAGTCAGGCACTCGGCCTCTTGCTCTGCAGGTTCCCTGCTGGGAGTTTAACCCACATTCTGTCCCTGCTCCCAGAAAAGAGTCAGGCCCATCTCTGGAGCAGAGACAGGGCTCAGCGAGGTTCCCAATGCCTGGGGAGCAATGAAGCTCATTGATGTTATGAATTAAGGTGTAGTAATTGGCTCATGCAAATGAGGAGGAATTATTAAGTATGGTGGGAAGAAGTTCTGTTAAGGTTTACAGTTCTTTTGACATGTACTTTTGTTGTTCCCATTTGGTTTTGAACCATTTTCTGTTCACACCAGAAGCTGTTTTAATTCTAGTTACAATGTCTTTTATACATTTCTTATCTAATCAGCTACTTCCACAAAGCTCACTAGCATCTTCATAAAACAATCATTAATTGCTGTTTTATACTATTTTGCCACAATGCGTCTCTTTTTATCCAATCACATAATTCTAGAGAAACTTACTGCTCTATCTCCTACTTTTTACTAACTCTATAATAAGTTTTATTACTACACTTTAAAATTTTCTACTATCTTGCTTAACATATTTATTCATTTACATGAAACATATTTCTACTTGCATAAAACATTTTTCTGCTAAAACTACAAATCTTTATTCTTACTCTGTGTCTGCTTCACTTTTTTGTTCTAAACCTTCAAGCCTTCTCCAAGGTCTTAGGTCAAACACTGTATCCATCTATCTCCGAGCTTGTACGTTCAAGGCTTTGGGAGCTCTCTGTGCTTGCATTTCCCACATCTCCCCCTTTCTGTCAAACCACAAATACTCCCTTAACAGCTTTATTAAACATCTGCTGCATACATTGAAGCAAGAAATGTGCCATTATTAGCACAATTACTATGTCAATTAATATATATATATATGTCTATTTTTAGAAGTTTTTTCAGCCAAGGTGTGAAACTCCATCTCTTAAACAGATAATCTAACCAAGTTTTATCATCAACCCTAATTTTGGATACACCGTTATTCAATTGCTGTATGCTTTTATGGATGGATTCTGAATGATCAGACAGATTCATACAACACATTCCATCAAAATCTTTGCATCCATGACCATGTGCCAATAAGAGAAAAATCAATTACCCTGTTTTGCAGAGTTGCATGTCTTACACCTTTGACAACTGCTAACAAACCACTTAATGCAAGAGAAGTAGCATTGGTTTGTGATAGGTTTCTCCTTGAGCCAAGTCTTATGAGCTCTCAGAGAACCTACCACACCCGAGATAGCTCAGCTACCTCGAATGGCATAAAATTAGCAGGACAGCTTCTGAGGTAGTGTTGGAAACAGAAAAAGTTTTAATAAAAGGCAAAATAATAAAGCTCTTTCAGAGAAAAACTGAGCCAGGGGCAAGAGGTCCTTGCTCCTGCTATAACACTCCACAAAAGCGATTATTTCCTTTGTTATCTTCTTTTTCTAGTGATTTACCTAGGCAGGACCTTTTCGGCTCTGTCCAATTGGGAGCCTCAGGTTTGAAGTGAAGTTCCAAGGTCCTATGAGGCGTTTTTTTACCAAATTGAGGAGAGAAACTTCTGGGCTTTTTGCCTTTTTATAGTAGACAAAGAATAATTTGGTCACTCCGTCAACAGGGGTCACATTCCTACAGGTTTGTTTACTTAGCCAACAGCCTATTAGATCTACTTGCTTTAACACTACTGCAGGGGCAAGTTGAGGTAAAAGTGCAGATGCTGAAAACCTTTTTCCAAAACTCCAAAGTTCAAAATCATCTTTACAATCTGATTCATATTGATGAACAAACCTCTTACCTCTGTGTCAATTGTCAGTGATCATCATTTTCATACTCAGTGTTAGCAAAGTAAGTCTCCCTAAGCCACATGGGTCACCGATGATGTGTGATGGAATGGCAGGCCAGGCTCTATCTCCACAGTAAGAAACATCCCTTGCAGCAGCTGTAACGGTGTGTCAATAGACCTTTGTACTGGAGAAGTATAAATTCACCAAGAAGTCTAGTTCTTATATACTTGGTGACAGGGAGAAAGATCTTTAATCAACCATGACTCTTTCCCTGTATAGCTGAACTTAATACAAAAAATCCATTTTTACTGAGCCAAGGAGATCAATCTCCTGAGGCTCTAAGGATGTTCAAGAAACTTCTCCTGCCCAATAATGCCATGTGGCTGCATTTCTCTTCACAGAGAAAAGCAAGGCACAGCTTTCCAATAATATTTCTGGGATTCACATTCTCTGAACCTCAGGGAAAGAAAAAACAATTCTTATCTCATTTACTGCTCCTGTGTTTTGGAACAAGTGGAATGCATTGTGGAAGATTGTTTACCTGAAGGGAATTGGTAATTGGATTCTGGTGAGTGTTTTGATTCATTGACTGATTGAATCCATGTGTGTGTGTGTGTCAGGACTGTCGGCTGACAGTCACGAGATTCTGGGCAGTTGAGTTGAGTTGGGTGCTTGTGCAGATTCAGTTTAGATGTAATGTAATAGAGTGTAATATAATATAGAATAATGTAGTGTAATAAAGTAATTAGCCTTCTGATATCAGTGGAGTCAGATGCATCATTTCTCCCCATCCTCGGGGTTGCTTTGATACACCGATAATTCCAAGCATCTACAGGGTTGTGATCCCAATCCCACATGCTGCCAGCACTTTTACCTCTTAAAACACAAATAGTTTTCTCCTTTATTTGCCATGTGTCTGCAGGCAGCCTTACTAAGCAAGTGGAAAATGGATTTTCTGGGGTTGTAGTGGCTAAGCATATGGTGTCTAAGCCTGATGCATTAGCTAAAGTCACCCAAACATTTGTTTCGGGTTAATTAAAGTTTGCACTACTAAAAGCAAACAAAATAAAAAGCCATAAGCGTAACATTTGATTTAGCTCCACATTCCCCCAGTTAAAACAGCTACTTTCTTGCTTCCTTTTGGCCTTCCTCGTGGTTTTCTTACTAGTTGTGTTTTTACATCACCCTATGGGATAATAGCTATGTTCCCACTATCTTCCTGTAGCCGTTTCTTTGGTCTCCCCCTCTTTTTCTTCTGTCCTTTGGTCAGTGTAGATGAGACGGGATTCCCTGGCTCCTCATTGCTCATGCACTCTCCATTGCTAGATGTAGTCTCTGTTCCGCTCACATCTACATGATTATTTCTCTGCTTGTG